AACATTCTTGATACTCATTTTGAAAATCCCAACAATTTAAAAGGTAACTTTTTTTTCTCCATGAAAGTCTGAGATAAATCAGACTTCCTGCAAGCATGGAAACTGTTGGTCACATGGAAGCATTTCAAGGTCCAGTGATGGTTCATATGTTATTTTGCTCTCTGTGCTCACAGAGATGATGTCAGTGTACACAGTTGTTATTTTTTTTTAGGACAAGAGAGAAGATATCACCATCAGAACTTGGACTGAATGACTGCCTTCTTATGCAGGTAACTCAGGAAGTGTATTTATACATAAGATTCTAAACCAGGTTTTACATTATGCAATAACACTGATGATGTGAGAATTCTCTTTCAATAGTTTTCCTAAGTGATTCTGATAATAAGCCACATTAGTTGTTCTTCATGATTGCTAAACTAAATGTGAATTGACTCAATTCTATAATACTCTTTTGCACATTTTAAAATTATAAAAACCCATAATAAATTTACTTTCTCTAAATCAGTGTTTTTAGAAATGAATTTCAAGTGTAAACATTTGGGGGATATTTTAATGGACAGGTATTTATAAATCTCTTTATAGTATCAGACAATGTGTTCTCTAAGCATTGATTAATATGCCAAAAATTAGATGATGTAGCATCTGTAGAAGTTGAATAAGTGACTTTCAAGAAATCTAGGTAAGACTTAAGTGAGCAAGGTGTTACTTCCATTCATAGGAATGATAGGTCAAGAAAGAAGAGTACTGAAATTGACCATTGGACTTAATAAAGTGAAGGTGTCATTTAGAAAGAATAACAGATAATCAAGATGAGGTGGTTGCTTGAAAGAGATGTGGGGTCAAAGGATGGATTTTTTTTTTTTTAACATGGGGATAGATCATACAAATATGCTGGAAGAATGATGCAATATATGGAGGAAACTTGTTGGAAGTAGAGGAGAAAATTGTAGGAGCATTGTTCTTAAGAGTGGTAAAAAGCATGCGACTTAGTGCATTAATAGAAGTTGGCCATAGTTAGCAAAACAGACAATCTGTGTATTTGAAGAGCAGGTGAGACACTCTGAGATCAGATTGAAGTAAAGGTCAGCAGAGACTTAGAGAGTGACTAGTTGTCATTACTAGGATTATTTTAAAAGATAGCTGGACTAGTGAATATTGATACTATGTATGAAATAGTTCTTTTGTGCGTGTATATGAAGCCTTCTTTTCCGGTCTCTCTCTCTTCTTCCCTCCCGCCCTTCCTTCTACCCTATTTCTTTCCTTCCTTCTCTTCTAGCTTCCTCCATCTCCTCCCTCCCTCCCTCCCTTCCTTCCCTCCCTCCCTCCCTCCCTCCGTTCCTTCCTTCCCTCCCTTCCTCCCTCCCTCCTTTCCTTCCCCTCTCTCCTTCCCTCTCTCCTTTCTTTCCCCTCTCTCCTTTCCTTCCCCTTTCTCCTTTACTTCCCTTCCCTCCCTCCCTCCCTTCCTTCCTCTCCGCTTCCTTCCCCCTCCCTCCCTCCCTTCCTTCCCCTCCACTTCCTTCCCTCCCTCCCTCCCTCCCTCTCTCCCTCCCTCCGTTCCTTCCTTCCCTCCCTTCCTCCCTCCCCCCTCCACTTCCTTCCCCTCCCTCCCTCCCTCTC